TAACTTGTTTGTTTGTTCATGATATTATAATTCTGGACATTGCCTTTAAGGTTAGCCTTCTGTAACAAATATTTGTTTAGTAACAGTCCAATATATAATGGAGACCCTACACATGAAGGTCTTATGACCAGTATTACATGTAGTACATGACTATTTATCATGATGTCGCTGTGACCTGACCCAATAACTGCACAGGATTAAGGTCACCATACTCAACTACCCAAATTATTTATACATGCAAAGCAGAACTAAATGATTGTTTATATCTTAAGAAAAATATAAAAGACAAAACGTTAACTCTGATATTGTAAAGGCAAAGTTTCTGACAATTGGAGGTCTTTATCAGTTTTTTAACTTACACTTCCTGTTCCTCGACTATCTCAGTTTGACATATTATAGGGTTATTACAATGACATAATTAAAGTTGTACTGCATTGCATCTTTTGTTGAATGTCTTTAAAATATGAGGTGAATTGAGCAACGAACTAAATTCATGGTAGTTAAGACGTTCCTGAAGAATGCATGTCGGACAGTGATTGATAGCGCACCTTAGCTACCAACTACATGTGTAAATTGTTTTTATTTCAACAAGCTAAAATTCTGTCATGCATTCTTAATTTGAATTCTGCTTTAGATGTGTGCTAAATATTAAACTAGGATGTAGTGTTCGAAGTCGGGTAAAACACGAGTCGGTAGCGACACAAGTGAAGGAGTCAAACTATAAATTCAGAAGGAAAGAGTTTATTCTCCATCGCAGACCAAATCTTTAAGATCAAAATTTCATTAAAAAAACAATAAAACATATTATGCAAATGTATATGGAGTTTTTTATTAAATATAGATTTATTAAACCAGTGTAGTAACAGGTATTTATTACTTTATTGATCTAATACATACCAGTAGTCATTTTTCACTAAACACTGACTGTAGATATTTAGGGTCAAATGCAAGCATGCACAATGTACTCCTAACTTTTTACCGTGCTTAAACATTCTTACTGTAGAATACTTTATTTTCGCTTGGAATTTATTTTCGCTGTTTTCGCTGAAGGGATGATTCCGTGAAAATAAAATCCAGCGAATATACTTTTTTCATATATATTTTACATTAAACTCATCAAAAATCAGTGAAAATAAATTCTACACAAAACGCCCAAAAAGCCTTTTCAGCGAAAATTAATTCCAGCGAAAATAAAGTATTCCACAGTATATTGCTAAAGTTCATGCTTTTCTTTGACTTGCAAAATTACATTTATTTATTAGTCTCTCACAAAGATGTTTATTAAAATGACAAATGTAGGCAAGCTGCAAAAAATAGCAGTCAAAGGTGTGTGCATATACCATTAGGTAAGGAGGCCATTAAGAGATTTCTGTTATCTTGTCAGGTTGTGTATCTGTCTCATTGTATTTGTAAACTACTCAAAATACGAGACAACAAAGGACTTTATTTAAAATGAAACCAGCAATGTACTAGGGTAATATATATATAAGTAAATACATGTAGTTAACAGAAAACTGCAGAAACACAAAGGTTACATTTGCAAAAAGATGCGTTTTAATACCCAGTTCAGATTGAAAGGGCCATGAGCTTTTTGTTAGATATTTTTAAATCTATCAGTTCATAATACGAAATGGTGCAAATGAGCACTGTAAATCGCTTTAATTACATCAATTTGTTAACGAAAATCATGAAATATTAACGCATGGCTGGCTGAAAGCCTCCATGAATAGTCGAAATGAAAAGGAAAAACCATGTCTGCAGGTAATGTATTTAATCAACAATTTGCAAAAAGCTTTCCCCACCAGAGATGTTTGCGATTTCATATGCTACTACTAGTTTTTAATTTTTCTGTTTTCATTGACAAGTGAAATTTGATAAATTAAAACCAAATCACTCAAAACATCCAAATAGTGAAATTAGCCAGTGAAAATGAGTAGTTTCACAATATATGGGCATTCACATGGATGAAATACTGCAAGTGAAATAAAAGGCGATTTACAGTATTATTCAATATTAATAACAACCTTGTTGTTGGGAAACTGCAAAGAACAGATCAAACAGTAAATGAGTTGCATGGGATGCCTTTTGGGGTTTTTCAAATTTTTAAAAGCTTGTCATGCATGGCTTTTATGAATTCAGCTTCAGGTAAGTACAAAACATAATATGTCAACTTGGATGCAGTGTATAGAATAGTAAATCATTTTATTAATTCTAAAGAGAAGAATCTAATTGTGGTACAAAAACAGGACATCTTAGTCAAATTTTGATTTTGTGATTAAAAAATGCTGTAAAATTCAGTAACATGCAATTAAAAATATATCTCAGAAAATTATTTTCACCCATATTATTGGCAGGACGGTTCTGACATCCATATTATTGGCAGAACGGTTCTGACATCCATATTATTGGCAGAACGGTTCTGACATCCATATTATTGGCAGGATGGTTCTGACACCTATATTATTGGCAGGATGGTTCTGACACCCATATTATTGGCAGGACGGTTCTGACACCCATATTATTGGCAGAACGGTTCTGACACCCATATTATTGGCAGAACGGTTCTGACACCCATATTATTGGCAGAACGGTTCTGACATCAATGGGAAATACTGCAACTGTAACATGTATCTGTAGTACATATTATTACTTAGTATGTAAGTGAAATTCTGCATCTTATCAAGGACTATCAGTATCAACGATGTAGCGTCTATGATCTTATACAGGGACTACCATGTATCTAGACTTGAAATTCAGATAACTTGGAAGCCTTACTAAACTGCCCATAGACCTTAAAGACTATGAACTGTCTCAGTGCATTGTCCAAAACTTAATTTGGGTGGGAACAATGTGTAAAGTTCAAGCCTACATGTATATGTTGACAGACACTAAAAAGAATGCACAAGTTATATATACATGTACAAGTATTACAATATGTTCACAATCACTGTTAATTATTAATAATATTATAGCCATTTTGGAAATCCACATTACATGTATTTTGTACTTGTTCAAATACAATACACAGACAGAGTATTTTTATTTGTCCAAGACAGTGGAATCTAGCAAAAGCAGAGTAAACTTTTTATTATTCTATTTAGCTATATTGTATATTGTTAGAAACGTTGTTCGTATTTCAAAATATGTAATAATGGTGACTTATAACATGACGATGGTGCATATCATTCTGTAGCTGTGACATTTACCGTAGTGTAAAGTAGAGGGGTTGCTGTACTGGTAAAAGTCTACCTGCCTGCCAAGTTTGATTTATTGAATCCTCCAAAAACCAACACGTTGAGTGAACATGTACATAATTGTATGTGTATGTTGTAGAATATGATAAATGATACTAAATGAATAAAATCTATCAAAAAATCATATGCCGGAGTGCCTATTTGCATACGACGAGAAAATAGCCAAAATGGCTATTCACATTAATTCACAGTAATTGCTGTCTGGGACAAAACCATTAGCATATTTATATTTTTTATTAGACGCATAAAATCCTTAGGAAAGGATAAAAAGGGTCTTACAGAAAGAAATTAAAAAAAAAAAAACTACAATCTAAAAAAGAAAACAAAAAAATAAAAACATTTCTAAAAAAAAAAAAAAAACAAGTCAAAAACAAAAAAATACAATTTGCAGCCAATGGTGAATATAGAATATAGAATGAACACAGAATGTGGCCTAATACACTGATAGTTGTTGCTGTTTTGTTCCATAGCTGTTTTTTAAGAAGACAGCTAAGGCTGGTGCTAGAGTATGGTTTGCCATAATCAAAATGAATTTATTTTGACTATTTTCTTTATCAAAATTTGGAATTTTATTTTGTGCAGTCAGGAATAATTTGTCCCTATGGTGACTGTAAGCTGGACATTTCATTACAAAATGTTGCTCATCCTCAACTATATTTTGGCTGCACATATCACATGTTCTTTTATCCAGCCGCACATTATTATGTCTGCCTTTCTCAATTTTAAGGTCATGG